GGCCAACGCGTGCCCCAGCGCGCGGCCAACGCGCGCCCCAGCGCGCGGCCAACGCGCGCCCCAGCGTGTAGACAGTCCGCGCGGCCACGCACAGCGCGCGGCCAGAGTGTGCAGCTGGCAGCCCAGATTCGGGAATTGGACCCCGAATGGACCCGAGGTTTTCCAAAATCCTCGTAATGCATGCCGACGGACCCGGAAGAGTTTCGGACCCCGACGAAGGTGAAATCTGACCCGAAGACGAAGAACGAAGCCAAAGAATGAAGAGTTCAAAAAACGAAGACCTGTTGATGTAACGGAAGAAAATGATTATTGTAATTATTTATTTATTCGATTTGGTTGTTATGTATAATTTCCATGGGACCCGGTCAAATCCATCTCAATAGCCGATTGCATATATTTATATTTTATGTTGATAGTTATATATTATATGTCCATGCATATAACATGCCATATAGATATAATGTGTCTACTCATATGTTTTATAACATGCCATATATACACGCGCATTTATTATTATTTATTTTATTTATTATAAAAGGGTTTTAGAAAAATAAAATAAAATAAGAACCATGCGCTAAAATCGATTTAATATGATTAAATTGATTTAAGTTGCAAAATTGATTTGCAAAATAATGTTAAATGTGAAATTGAATTTAAGAGTTAAATTTTAGAATTTCACATATCTGAAAAATAAATTATTTATTTTTCGATTTGAAAACCATGAGATGTTTTTTCAAACAAAATACATATTTGCAAAATAATGAGTGGGAGAGGGTTGTATGACAATACGACCCACTGGTCTCCACCGTTAGCGCAACACCGTGAGATCCGGAGAGGGACTTTGCGGCGACATTGAATCGCCCTCCTAAAGGAGAGTGTCCTTGCCGGATCAATAACAAGGTTGGCTTCCTAGAGATAGGATTTCAGGATGTATTTTCAAATTGACTGCCCATCCACAGTCAAGAATAAATTCAACAATTTTCTTAATAAATAATTTACAAAAAGTGTCATGTTATCACGCTTTAACGAGAGCATTACTGAGATTTCAAAATCCAAAAATTATCTTTGCATCCCTAGTTTTGTATATTCCTTACACTTATGACATGTTTATCTACGCGTAATCAAAATGGATAGAATTCACAGTGGGAAAGGTTCGGAGTGAAGAATCAGAGTCAAAATAAGTTATTTACTTGGTGTTAGGATTTGGTATCGAAGTCACTCTAAATCTCATTAATGCATTTACTTATACTCATAATTAGAATAAACAAGTGTAAAAGTACTAATATAGTCTTTTAAGTCAATTTTATATTTTTAATTTAAAAAATAAATTATGTACTTATTATATTAAAATTAATTAAAATTAATATATTTAGTATAATAATAGGGTAATATAATAATAAATATAGATTAACAATGATTTAAAATACAAATATAAATTGTCAAAATTTAAATAAAATAAATAAAAATTAAAAATATTGTTAAAAATTAAAATATATTATTAATTTATTAAACAAAATAAAGTACCTATATTATATTATATGAAAATTAACAATAATTAGGCTAATATTATAATATTAGGCAAATAAAATAGTGAATAAATGTTGTAATTATTATTTTTAAAATTTTATTTTAATTTTATATTTATAAGTAAAATAGGAGTATGATAGTAATTTAATGCTAATATCAAGAATGTGAGTTTCAATCCCAATAGGGTAAGGGAGCTATAAGATTGACTCTTTTTCTCTATTATCATTCCTTAATCCTGGTAAGTAAATATGTCATTAGGTCTACCTCACCACCGCCACTAAGAAAATCGCAATCGTCGATCTTGTGTTGCCAGTCAAAGGAGATTGTAAGGTTGCAAGCTATCATCTCCTCCTCAACACTCAAATTGGCATATTAATAGATTCTTGAAGATCATAGTCGCCATGAACGACAATGGGACCTTACAAGGTCTTCAAAATAGAGGACCTCACAAGATCTCTCTGGCGACACCTCGTGAGCTCTGATCACAGTTTTTCACGACTCCCAAGATTGCGTGACGACTTTGGTGAATCTCAATGAGCATTTTTAGGGAGTGGGGGAGGGAGATAGATGGAATGATAGAGAGATTTTTTTTTTTCAGGAATTTTCAAATCTTGGGTAATTAGTAGTTATAACATATAAGAAAAAAAAATGAGAAAACATAATGTTTTTAAGGATTTTTTTTTTGAAAGGGAACTTTCATTTAACCAAAAAGAGAGAAACAAAACACACAATACAACCTAATGACCTACCGGAGGAATAGACATACGCCTGATGTCTGAAAATGGAAGAAAACCTCGGCACACTAAGAATGAGCACACTTAAGGCTTGATTTAAAAAACCCCCTCACATCTAATTAAAGTTCAAAATTTTTAATTAGAACATTACTAATACATGTCATTCCCATTTAGAATGGAACGGTGTTATTCGCACTGTTAATATGGTGTGATATTGAATGAGTGTATTACGCATAATAAGATTATGTGGAACAAGGGCACAGACACAATATGAATTTCTAATAATTTCCGCTAAGTATAGAAATTATAATTGAGTCTACCGATGGTCATATATAGAATGATCTTAATTTTGAGTTCTTAACAAACACCTATTTATAGATTTGTGTCTTTTGATTTACTCGGTACGGATTCTGAGACCCTGAATCCTATACCTTGTATTTTGGAGACATGATGAAGTAGGTAGCCGGGAATGTTATTATACAAGATGGAATCCATTCATTCTTGAGAAAGAAGTAGATAAATAATTCTCTTGAGTGTTGATTCGGTACTTGGATTAGTTAGAGCATTATTTATGGAGGATTGATCTATATGCAATGACTATATCAAATGGACACTTCACAGTTTAGAAGTAATTAATGTCTATAATTTCGAGAGTGCAATTCCAAGTTTACAGTGGAGTAACTATTGGAATTAATAGAATTAATTAATTAATTAAAGTGTTTAATTGATTATTAATTTTATTGGAGCTCAGGATTATAAGTCCATTAGTCCTCGCGTCGTCCTTGTAATTTTACCATACACAGAGGGCAAAATGGGAATTTTAGAATTACAGAATTCTAAAATTAAACACTCAAAAATAATTAATTGAGAATTAGTTATTATTTAAATAATGTGATTATTTAAATAAAGTGATTATTTAAATTTGAATTTGAATTATGAACATAATTTAAATTTATCCTTTTAAACTTATTTGATAAGTTGTTCAATTTAGAATTCAAATTATTTAAGTTTGACTTAAATTCGAATTTGAATTTGAATTAAAATTGGATTACAGGATAAATGATGATTTTCTCTTCTTTTCCTATCCAGTATTGGCGCCACACACAAGGGATAGAAACCCTACATGGCCGGCCACTTAAGGAATAAGGTGTTGGAGATTTTTTATTCTAAATTCAAGTAAGAGATAGAGATTTAATTTTTTTTTAAAATTTGACTTCTACTCTTTAAATTTAAATATGAGATTTATTCAATATTAAGGGATGAAAAACTATTCGTCTTCTTTTCCCTTCAAAGCCCGTTTTTCAAGACATTACAACATGGGTCAGCCCATTTAACCCAGAAATATAAGCCCAATATGAACCTAACTTGGCCCAAAAACCGCAAACAAGCCACAACCACAGCAACAACCTCAACACATAACACAACCATAACGATTCTCTGCACTGCATTAAAAAAAGGAGCAGAAATAATAAGCAACAAGAGAAGAAGCAAAAGAAAAGAAAAAAAAAATGATTAAATAAAAATAATAAAAAAAGAAAAGAAAAAAAGGAAAAACCACATGTGCAGCAACATGTTATTGCAGCAGATGCAGACCAATAATTCGGTTTTTCATTCTCCGACTCCCAAAGTCTTAGCACCACCAACCGCCGATTATCCTCGTTATCGGACTCCCCAAACCCCACGGCCCCGGGCCCACCCCTTCCGCCTCTAGATCAACAAACCATCAGATTTTTTTTTGTTTTTCTGATTAGGGTTTGTGAATTTGTGAAGGATTAGGAGCTGAATTTTGCGAATAAAAGATAGTAATTTGATTGTTTGGGAGTGGTTATGGAGGTGGAGGTGTCGGGTGTGAAGCCGTCGGCCATGGTGATGACGAGTAGGGAGAAATCGGAGAGCGATCGGGTCCTCGTGAAGAGGAAGACCCTGCAGGCCGTGCTCCAGCAGTGCCAGAGAGCCCTCGAATTGCTCGAGTCCAATAGATCTCTTGACGACGACGACGACTACGGCGATGATGAAAACGACGCCGCCGAAGACGGCGACGAGCGCCGCCGCGGAGAGGCTGATGAGGTATGGACGATTGGGTTGTTTTTCTTTTCAGTGTAAATTGTGATTATGAAACTAGACTTTGTATGCTATTTGTCGTAATCTCAATATCGCGTCTGAATAATATGGAATTGTAGTAGGTTTATGCCGGAATGAGGCCTTGCTCGTTATGTTTTTCAGGATTTTTTTTTCCCCTTTGTCTAAACTTAATTGGGTATTGGAATCGGACTTGAGTGGTTTATGATTAGGCTTTATAGTCTGGAATTGAAGCTGGAAAGGTTTAATAGGATTTGAGGGGTCAGTAAAAACTAAAAAGGTTCTATCTAAATTTTGCAAAGGAGAGACACTTTTTCAGACACAAATTTGTTTGATGAGCTCTAGATATCACTCTGCCAGCTTGAAATAGTAACATTGTTGCGACGAGTTTTCTCGGTATAAACTATTCAGAGATGAGGCCAGCGCTTTAGTACCTCTGTTGTTTGTTTGGTTTTGGTCGAAAAGTTAAGAAACACTTGTCGAAATCTCAGAGTTTCTTCTTCTGGTGAAGAGCAGTAAGTTAGTCCAACTCTGAGAAGAGGAGCTCTTAAGTTTGGATATAATGAATGTGGAAAGGTAGCAGGGCTCTCTGTTCTTAATCACTGATTTCTCGTTTATGGTGTCTGTTTTAAGTTGGATAAGTTGGGCTAACAGATATGTTAGTTTCTTTGTTTTCTTCACATCTGAAGCTTTCCATATTCTTATGCTGGCATTCTTTACAACCTGGTGCAGTTCTGCGAGCTTCTAAAATCTAGAGTTGAGTGTCCTGACTTTCTGGAAAAGTTAGCTTGTGCGCAAGCATCTGCTTCACAAAATTTGGCTGGTAGGCATCAATTTACAAGTATATTTATCTTTTGGAATGTTTCATAATGCAATGTGGTTTTATGTACCAAGTTTTTCTCCTACTTCTTTTGTGGTAGCAGAAGAAGGTAATTCTTGGGATGTGGTTAGTGCGAATGATTTGTGGGAGGGCGAGAACACTGATTTGAATGAAGATGAGTATGTTCTTGTAAGGCAGGAGGATATATTGGAGGGTATTGCGTGTTTCATGACTGCATACTTGGAGAGTATTAAACAGACTAAGGTATGCCAACTTGATGTGTCTCATTATCCTAGTCTTTAGTTAAATTGGTGCCAAATTAAATTTTATTTATTGGAGGCACATTATGAACAAATTGCTAGTATCTGATTGTTAAGCATAGTATGCGATAGGTCTTTGTTATCCTTTCTGTTTATTTGGTGATTTAGTAATTAGAAATATGACGTGTCACAAAGCAATTTATGTTTGAAAAGAAGCCTCATCTTGTTGTGGTTGTTCCCTCATAGTTGAATTTGCTGTCCATCATGGATTTTGAATCATCATTTCATTGTTTCTTAAGGTGCAACGGTAGTGATCTTATCATGTGAATAGGAATAATAAACATAAATTCTTGAAAAGCATAAGCAAAAAAACTAGAAAGTTTTCTTGCTCTCATTCAAAAATGTAGCACATTAAATAGTGCTGGTTTTTACAATGTAAGAAAGCAGATAGTTTTAGACTTTAAGTCAACAAAATTATTTAATTCTTTTTGCTATTTGATTTGCAGGATTTGCCTCCTAATCAACTCCAAGAAGGTGAGATCAAAAAGATCACTTGCATATTTCTTTCATTCTTTCATCAAGTTTTCTATTTAGATACGGTTCTAATGCTTTCGATCACCATTTAGCCCTTCGGAAAACATTCTCGGTTAAAAAGAAGAAGGGGAAGCTTCGAAAGGCTTGGGACGGGAGCAAAGTCATTTACAATGTGGCATCCTGGGGAGCAACTGCCATTGGGTAAGTCAATGGAAGTCCAAAATGCACCAAACCAATGACTTTATGCATGTCATTCACAATCCAATTACCGCATACCTTCCTAAATAGTGTGATTAAGATATGATATGCATTTTATTCTCACTTTATCTAATCCTTCTTTCTCTGTTTTTACAGGATATACCAAAACCCCGTAATTATTAGGGCTGCTTCAAAAGCCTTCTGGACATCTTGCCATGTTATATCGAAGCTTCTTTAATGTCGTCGCGGACATGCTTAAAAAAAATGTTGTGAAAGTTAGGGTAACTCCCAAGTCCGCAGATGTATTGTGTTGCCAATGCAGGGTATTTCTTGTGTAACATTAATGGCATTCTTTTCTTGCTACAGATGACAGCTCCGATTGGTTCCTCATTGTAATTTAATCTTGTAAATATTTTCTTCTACACGAAGCATTGTTTTTCACCTAGTGCAATTCTATTCCATTGGTGGCATTTCTTTTTTTTTTTTTTCAGTTTGATATGTCTGTTACTGCAAAACGTACTCATATTATTGGGCACCAATAATTGTGCATTTGACGTTTGGTAGCTACCAATTGATTTGTTTTTGCCGCATTTCTGATCAGTCATATCTCATATGGTGTGTATAGTGCACCCATACCCGTTGGGTCTGAAGTCTGGGATATATTTACGAAGCATATTTACTACTAATTTATTTGGTAAATATCATTTATCATAAATATTTTAAATAATACCATTTACCATAAATACTTTTCAAAAATGGCTTGTCTACTATCTACTATAGTTTCACTAAAATTTATCGTCAGGCCTTAATAATTGCTAAATTATTTACTTTTCTCCTAATTTAAAAAGAAAGAGAGAAAAAAAAAAAAAAGTGTCATGCATATCTTTGGTGCAGAGGTATGACGTGTTTGGATGGGATAAGGCTTCGTCCAAATTGTACTTTCTAGGGCTTTCAGTTTAACCAAAACTAGTTTCTTGGGTATCATCATATGTTGCGTTGGTCTTTCCTCTCTCTTTCTTAACTTTAGTCCAAATTGCATAGCTGCCGTGGTTGAAAGGTTTCTTGTTTTTGCAATCAAATGCGAAGCCTTGCAATGTTTGGTATTCCATGGCGTGTGAATCTTGAATTCGATGGTTACAAATATAAATCCACTCTTTTATTTATTTATTTATAATTTTTTTTTTCAGAATATAACTCAACTTATTTTATATACATACATATATGTAATATCACATATAAATATTTATAAATACTTATGCATAAGCGCTAGTAATTATAATAAGCTCAAGATGACGTTTAGCTGGTTTGCCAAGGCAAATTGATTGTCAATCCGAGGTTCTCGTCATTCGTAGCCACGCCCACCCTACTAAAATGCTATTTAACTGTAGATTCACTTACGTAACGTAACTTTAAAATTGTTTCTATTAAAGAGTGGCAATCCGAGGAAAATTCTGTTTTAACTACTGCCACATTTTTTGTCTTTGTTTTAGGTGTTATTACGAGGACAAAAACATCTTTCTTTTTTTTTTCCTCCTTTATCGTGAATTTCGCGAGTTTTTTATTTTTATTTTATTTTTATAATCTCAGCAATTATACACACTAAAGTAATCATCCTACGGTCTAAAATCAACAACACCGTACATCCCTTTTTTTGGAGGTATCTGTGGACGGACTTTTTTTTTTATTAGCAAAAAAAAGTTTGATGTGTGATTGGTGCCGACTGACAAATGCGTTAATTTTTCTTTGATAGAGCCTGAAAAGGGTTTTATTCATGGTTTAAATGCAAAATGTCATTTTCCAAAAAATTTCAAATGCACATCTCAAACATCTACATCATTAAAAACGAGTTTTGATTCTTTTATAAGACGACACAACATTTGAACTTTGAAGCTGCCGTACCGTAGGCCATGCTCTTTCTTTTCTTTTCTTTTCTTGGTTTATTTATTTATTTATTTTGCATTATTGTGAAGTGTATGGATGGTTTCAGCAAAAACAAGAAACAGCTATTAAACCATATACGAATGTATAAATACCAAGAAAAGAATGACGGAATCGGCTTTGATAAATGACATTATGGGAACAAGAATGTTAGAAAAGAAACTTAAAAACAATAATAATAATAAAAAAAAACCCCCTTTTTACTCGGCATACATAAAGGGCTTGTTTGTTTTTCGCGTTTAAACTCATAATTTTGATTCTGCTGCAGTGTTCTACTCTCACAAATTTTAAATTTCAAATGTCAAAATTTAGAATCACTGATTTAAATGCACGAATCAAATGAGCCCGAAATTCTTAGAGCAGCTAGCAGCTTGCTCCCTCTACAAAATTAGCAGCACGAGTAGTACGTATACTATATATCTTGTATATTATATTATTATAGAGATTATAGCGCCAAAAGTGGGCCAAGGTGATCATCTGCTAACTCCTATACTCGAAGCTCTTCCATTATCATACGTCCCCTCTCTCTTTCTCTCTCATCTCATATTTACATGACGCCAACCTAAAAATAGTAGCTGTTGTCCTTGTGATCTTGAACATCTTTGCAGAGTATCGAGCGGACTTCCATGATCGATCTCGGCGGCTCCAGATCCTTCTCCAGTAGCGCGTTCCCCAGCAACTGCTGCATCTGAGACGCAAAGGTGTCGTCCAGGATCTGCAAAAATGATAGTAGCGTCATTCAATTCTATATCGACAAAATAATGGAGGAAAACAGAGAACCCGGAAAGTTTGTGATGCTGCTGCTACTTACAGAAACAGCAATCCGGGAGCCCTTGTACCACGATCTGTTCTCTTTCCTGTTCTCCAAGAAGCTCAGAACATCCTAAGGCAGAAATTCACACAAGTTACAAGGCAAAATATATGACATGTAACTAGTTAATGATTTTTCACATGCAAAGTGACTTGCCTGTCCCATTCGGTCCCAGTAACCGCGACAGATTGCAACGAAAACGTGAGTCTCGAAGACTGTATGAAGGTGATTCATTGTACTCATTAGCTGGTCTCGCAACGGCTGCATCTTGTTTCGAACATCTGATTCTACCACAGTTTCCTTTGAATCTTGGAGGATCTTTTTCAGCTTTGTCGAACTTTGTAGCTTCGACTGGAAAATTAAAAGGAAAATAAAATCAAGGACACTTCATGAAAGAATCAAAAGAATTGTAACAAACTGCATCTACAACAAACTATCAAAACATGATAAATCAGAATTTAAAAAAAAAAAAAAAAAAGCCACTCAGAACTGCATCTATACTCACATTCTCTGCAAGTTTTTCCACTACTGCTTGAAGATAGTTCCTGAACTTTGCTCTCAGCATGACCGTAACTTCACTGAGACGCTCTCCGGGAACTGCATTTCCACCATCAGGGATACAGGACCCCCATGATTTGAACTGAGCTTCTATCTTTGGCCGCAGGATATCAAGCATCCTCTTAAGAGAATTCAACAAAATTCCAAGCTGATATGCAACAACAGATTTTTTAAACCTTGAAATGAGATGTGAATCTATTAAGGAAACAAAGAAGTATGAGAAAGTTGCAACAAACCTCATCAGGGACTGTGTAGGAGGATACAGATCTTTTGGCAAGTTTTTGCACATACTTGAAGCCAAATTTTTTGGGTGTCAAATTTTCCTTTAATGGTGACAAGACATCTGCATACTGCTTATCTAAAGCTTCCACTATTGCCTTCTCGACATCGGTGATAGCCTTTCAGAGGAAAAGTAATAACATACCAAAAAAGAGAAAATTAGCATATCTCCATGAATTTACTTATATTCCATATAAATTAGTAAGCAACTTCAACCTCACAGAGACCTGGTCATAGAGCATAATGGTTAAAGCTGGTTAGATACTTGGTATTTGGTAATGTAACAAAAGAAAAAAACTAATAATAACAATAATAAGATGCAAAAGTATCGGAATCACAAGTACAAATAAAGGACCAATCAAACGCATAGAAACCAAAGAAGGAAAAAAAAAAAAAAGAGAGATCAACCCATATTTACATACTTGCTCTAGAACGAAAGTGTACTCTGGCCATCGACATATGATGATCTCATAATCGCTCAAAGTTTCCTTCAGTCTATCATACATCTCATCCACAAAAGGAGTTGTAGAATGTTGTGTTCTAACTCCTGACCATTTTACCTGCAATTGGGTGACTTTTAATAAACCCATAACAAACAACAAATTAAATAAGTTAAGGAATATTCTTTTCCACAAAATACATACCTTATCTAGCTTGCATGATTCGAGCAATGAAAGGCGCTTATCCTGAATCCACACCATGATATAAAGATGGAATAATTCTTTTGCATCAACTCCACCTTTGATGGGACTGAAAGGACAGATTGCAACGTTATAAAAAACACTTGTCTGTTTATTAATGTCATATTTTCATGGGAGCTAGATCAAGAACTTGCCTGATGCCCCAGCTCGCAAGGTCCCTCTGAAAATCTGCTGTTGCAATAACAAGTTCTGCAACAGGAGGTGAAGGGCCCGTTGGGGGGCAAGCAATGAGGAAAGCACGCAATCTACTACACAGATCGGTGCTGTATATTGAGGACGACAGATTTGGAAGGTCTATGAAACTGTAAAAAGGTAATTAAAAAGAGAGAGAGAGAGAGAGAGAGAGAGAGAGAGAGAGAGTACTCAATTTTATAAGTCAGATATCAAAATGTGAAACAAAGTATTCATACTATGCTTCTTTTAAAATAAATAAATTCATAAGTACCTTGGAAGTATGTGTTGGTTATGGATCTCAATATCCATTAGGATTTCGTTCCTAAAGTTTGTGCACAAAGACTTCATCTTCTGGTATGCAGTGGACATAGTCAAATTATCCATCAGAGTCCCTTCAGTGTTGTTGCTAATGTATTCATCCGTCTCGGTTAAATGCCTTCTTGATCTCTTTCTTGCAGCAACCTGACAAGCCAGTCGGTCCAGTCCTCTTTAGAAAAGCAAATAAGTACCAACTCAAACAATCACCATAACAGAAACAAAGTTCCTAACCTGGAAATAATGGCACAATGTATTTTGTGCCTCGGGGGACAATATATCATGAAGAAGAGTAAAAAGTTTAACAGCAGGTTCCAGTGCAGGTGCTGCAAGTCCACATGCGGGTTTAAAGACCTCCATAATACCCAAGAGTGCAGATTCGTCCAATGACTTGTAATTTTCGAAAACTAGAGAAAGTATTTGTTCGATTTGATCCTTGGTTTCTCCTAAAATTCGGTTCTACAAAGCAATAAGAAGTTGAAAGATATTTAATGCCAGGGCCCAATAGCAACCATAACAACGACATTAAGCGCGAAAAATGCTTCAATGGAAAGGTTGCTCTGTACCTCTTGATGGCTCAATGTGCTCTTGCTGTGGCCTTTCATGAGAACAGGCGTCAACAAGTCGTAAACCAACGCAAGGCAATCAGCTGTTGGTGTGGCAACGTCCATGACATAAGAAAGGTATCTGTTCAGACATTAGATCATGATTACAATGTAAATCTTGTGAACAAAAATTACTGGTGTAAAATAAAATAGTGCGGGGTTTAACTATTTTCTGACCACAATCCGTTACCTGAGCTTGGTATATACATCAGAAACACCATAGTACACTGCAAACTCTGTTAAAAGCCATTTCCAAGGACCATGCAACAGGAGACTTCTTTGCTGAAAATGTAGAACCTTCATAGCAACTTCTAAAACTAAGTCATATGCAACCGTCTCTGCAACAGAACCGTACTGGAAGGTAGGAGAAAAGGAGGAAAAAAATTAAAACGTTGAGTGACTGATAAATTTTCTTTATCGACCAATAACCAATTACAATGGAGTATTTAGATAACAAAGAAAACCAAGCACATGGCTCCTCATGTCATGTACAAATAATATATAGCAGTTACATACTCTCAAAAACAGGTAGAGATACCGGAGGTCACTTAAAAGACAACTCACTTTGAGATGACTATTATCATCTGAACTTGTTGAGTAAATTATATAAAGCTGTAGCTTTCCCACAAACTCATGTTCGGGTTCGCGATAGATAGACCACCAACGTAACTTGTCGGCCTGCATTTCCGCATTAATTAAGAACCTTTAATCAATATCATAATTATAGAAATTTAACGTCATAGTTAACAAGGATCACAAAAAATCTTACCGGGTCATCAGCAATGGTTGCCACTTGAACAGACACACGGCCAAAATGCTTTCCCTTGGAATCTTGGATTTCAACAATCAGATCATCACCCAAGCTATCTGGAAAGCTGTAGAGTGGTCAGAACCTTTCTCTTAACAGATCAGAAACATGAGAATAAACAAGACAAGGGAAGGAGACATGATAACATACAAAACATGAGTTTCCCCAGATCCAGGTTGCAATCTGATGGCATCTTCTTCAGCTGAACTTTTCAGTCTTAAAAAACAAGAGTATGTTTCTGGTGACATTAACAAGCAAAGAGAAAATTAACAGGTACAAAAATAGTAAAGAATGAGAACCATAAGATATCCTCCACACAAAAATACAAGAAACCAAAAGCAAAGTGCAAAAAAATAACCACATACTTCCAACTCACAACAGCCGAAAATTTCAGATCATGTAGATGGTCTAAAACTAATAAAAGAAGGGGTATACCACTATATGTAACAAGAAACGGAAATAGTGAGCGGAGACGACATAATGCAAGTGTGCATCAGCTAAAACAACATGTTTACAATTTAGCATGTGTAAATGAAGATAAGAAAATATATTCAAAGTGACGTGCATAACAGCAGTGATTTTTCATATGCAGAAGAAACAATACATCCTTTCTACTAAGAGGGGGAGAAGTTCCCCGGAATCAGCCATGATTTATACCTTGCACAACTTCATATGATGATGAACTATTACGCAGAGTAGTTACGCCAGTTTTTAGGAGTCCAGACACCTGTTTTATATACTGAGTACCAGCATGCACATAAGCCAAGCTTTGACGTGAAAATGAGCGATTTGCTGGTAGACGAGGAACCAGGCGGATTTTTCGAAGAGCTTGCCATCCAGAAGAGAGTGTTGAGTGGAAGTTGGAGAAGTGATATTTGATGGTTTCCACTTTAACTAACTTTGGTCGGTAAGAAGTAATACTGCAGCCGGTAGGTGGATCCAGAGCCATTTTCACTTTACGCACTGCAAAGGAAACAATAATATCGGTAAAATTTTATAACCAGTTACTTGCAGGGTTAGAATGTTATGCTGGCATTTAACTTTACCTTGCACCTTCATCTTGCCAACCATTTTCTTAGGTTTAGGAGCAGCTTTCTCGCCTGCTAGCTCTGAAGTCTGCTTTTCCAGCAGTTCTTCCTCTGACTGTAGAAGTACTTGCCTTAAACTACAGTTCAAAGAACAAGATTAAACTTTATCAGTAACAGTGAACAACGTAACACTACAAAATAATAAATCACAGACTTTAATTTACAATATTAAACACACACAAAAGAGCACATCATAGTACCGTGCCCTCTATTTAATAGTTTCAAGGGCTTATTGTGCGCGTCCCCTGAACTTTAGTAATTTAGTTCCTAAACATAGAACATGACGTACACCTAATATTATTATTTGAGATCAAAAATCAATCTTCAATTAACAACCATCATATCTGTAAACTGAATAGAAAATATCATTTTTATTTTTATGACAAACAAGGAAAAGTTCCAAGAGAAAAAATAGGTGTAACTAATGCAATTTTCCATTATTTTAACAATATTTTTGCCCAGGGCTATGAGTTCTACGTTTAAGGGAAAAAATTAGTATGTTGTAGCTTATAAGCTGTCCAACCATAATGTTACTTGCTTTCTATTTTTGAAAGGATATAACAGAATACTTAAAAGACTAAATAACTGAAATGATGGCAATCATGGCATGAAGGAGACAAGGCGAGAAAGATGATAAACTCACCCAAATGCGTCCCTTAGTAGAGCACATTCATTCTCCAAAAACATAGGTGCTTCCATGCATTCCATTGCCCAAGCATGAAGACAAAGACGCACGCATGCATCATATGCAACAATAGCATGCCATGGCCCTAACGCACTAATATTGAACAAAATTACAACAGAACGATTAATCAACAAAAATGAATAGTGGAATCAGAAAACTTTACTTCATCAACTTCATCTATGACTATGGTTTTGGTCTATACCAAAAAAGAAAAAAAAAAGGTTTTATTCATAGATACCTTGCATGGAATGTTGGGACTCGAGCTGCTCCGGATGAGGGAGCAGCTTCTGAACCATTAGTACTTCTGAACAGAGAACAAATATGGTTAAATTCATTTATGTACCCAAATGGATGCATGCATGCATGTATATGTTGTCAACGAGTTAAGAAAAATCTGCGACGTATTGTCTCTTAGTAATGTTTTCACAAACGGGCTCTTATGCTTTGTTTTTCAAAGAGTAGCTTTGTTTTTCAAAGAGTACAAAAAAAGAAGCACAGACCTTGCAAACTGTTCAGACTTTCCATTTCCACCTTTAGCCTCTGGAATATCAGTAGTATTTTTTGCTTCAGGCAAATCTGTTGTTTTTGGAGTGCCCTGAACCTTGGAAGCTGGACTACTCTCAGAAGCTACTTTGATTTCCTGAGTAGAGCCACCAAATGGTGGCGCACTGGGAACATCATCTTCATCGGAAAACTTCCCATTCTGCAGCTTTCTCGAATGCAAACCCTGAAAAGTACGTGTATTTTTAGCAACAAAAATATAGTTCCAGTGGATAGTACGAACAGCCACTAACAAGACAAGAACAAAAACAACAAATTTTGCACATACCGAACTCCCGCTTATAAAATAAACAGAACAAAATTCAATATCATGATCATCAACAATCATCCTCAAACAGTAAAACTAATTACATATCCTAAAGCTAACACCTTGACAACTAACAATTTGACAGAATAGAAATGGAAGTATATTATAAGTAGAAGAACAAGACCTTTTCAGCAGCACTTTCCACATTGATTGTGGATGGAATGCTGGAAGCATATCCCTCCGAGAATCTATTCCGTCTGGCAGCACCGCCATTAATGCTTCCCCCAACTTGCGTTGTCGAAAACTCTGAGCTAGCTGCGGAATCATAGGACTCATCCTCCGTAAAGCCATTCTGAGCAACCGGATACCTCCCATTTCCCGCCTCCGCCGCCCTCCTCTGCGCTGCCATAAGATGTTTCGTCAATCCCGCCACTGTCTCCATCGACGATCCAACATCCGAATAAGTATAGTCACTGCTATAATGTGACTGGGAATCCCTCTTCGACGGGTTCCCGTATCTATAGGCAGTCCCATTGGGACGCTGCGGCGACGAATCCAGCGAGTATCTTCCTCCATAAACATCCTCCTCCGAGTCAGTACTCATGTCGTTTTCGGAACCCGACGCGCTGTCATCACGGGGGATGGTTCTAGAAACGGGAATGGCAGTCGCGGGCAAGTGCCCGCTTCGGAATTTCGCCGGCGGGGGGAGACCAAAGCCCCTCCCACCGCCGCGGAGTTGAGACATTGGATCAATACGAGGTCTTAGATTCGTACTAGGAATAGAAACATCCTTCTGTTTCATCATAACAAATAAAAAGTTTGCGTGTGAATTTTTAGTTTTTAAAAGTGCCCAGATGCTAATTCAGTAAGACAAACAAAACTAAATTAAAAATAACAAAAAAAAAAAAAACAGAGAAATGAGAAAAAAGTTCTGACCTCTCTAACCCAACGAAGAGCACTTCTGTCAAGTCCTTCAGTGAACATTTTTTTTTTTTTTGTGGGAAGTTCTATAATCTTTCTTTACCTGCACAGCCAGAATAAAAATTCAAAAAACCCACAAGAAGCCAAACAAATCAAACATCAATATTCAATCCAAAAAAAGAAAGAGAGAGAGAAAAGAAAAGTACTACATTCTTTTGAAGGGAAAAAAACAGGAGCAACGAGCTCACATATGATTCGAAGTGATGCGTCTGTTTTGGATTTCAACTTCACTGCCCAAAACGAGCTGAAGAAGAACGGCAATGGCGAGAGTCTGATCGGGAAAGAAAGGAGAGATTTTGAAAGTGAAATCAAGCTATGAAAAAAGAACAGAAGAACATTAAAAAAACCGAAAAACAAAAAGAAAGATTTGCTTCTCTCAAAAGCTACTATATTCAGCTGAAAGAGACCCAGAACACTCTTCTTTTTCTCTCTCTAGCTTAATGCAAATCTGTGGGGGCGTTTGGTGAGAGTACTGTTTTTTGCTGAGAGGCAAGCAAAAAAATAGTTTTCTTCCTTTTTTTTTTTTGAGAGAGAGAGAGAGAGAGAGAGAGAATTGTTTCCTTGTTTTTTTTTTTTTTTTTTTTTTTTATATATGGAATTGTTTCCTCGTTTTAGCGTACACGAAAATGTTCTTTTTCCTTAATTTTTTTTTTTTTTAGTCTTAAGATTTCTCACTTTCAAAATTTTCCAACTAAGGAAGACAATATAATACTGTTAACAAATGAACGTTTCCAACACAAAACGGCAACTTATGACCATGAGAAACAATAAATGATAAATAACTAAAAAACCCAATTGGTTCTATTTCTACTAATAAGATTTTATCAAATATTTTAATTAATATGAAGAGTCCGAAATCCTTATTTTTAAGGAAAGAAAAATCCGAAATACTAGAAAGCAAGTCCGAGAATAAAGAGCACGTAGATGGCCCATAAAAGTAACGGGAAGTATCTTAATAAATAATTAATGTGTGAATTTTTTTATTAATGGTACTTTAGAAAACTAAAATTAAATTGGTCGAACGTTGTAGTGGGGACGCTTTTACTCTAACTATTTGCCGCTATTATAGAAATAAAATAATAGTCACATGCGGTCGTGGGTCCCAACTAAAACTATTGCCCATCTTTGTGTGTTTAGTATAAAAATTCGTATCATGATTTAAATCATAATTCGTTATTTATTATAATATTTTTTTTTATAAAAAATATACATAAATTAAAAATAATTTTAAATTATGATTTTAAATCCGTGAACTAAATATCCATAGTTATTATTATTATTTTTTAAATCTTCTACTTTGCTTTTTTAGCACTGTGTGCCTCTTACTAAAAAAGGAAAAAAATTAATTTTTTTTAATGACAAAAACCATTACAAACGTTTTTTTTTTTTATGGGACCATTACAAAAGTTAATAAGCCATAATCAAAACAAAACAAAAAATAAAGACGTTTCTCCGTCAAAGGAAAGTACCAAAGTTCAAATTTTTTTTCAAATTAAAGCAAGAGTCCACTTTGGACCCCATTTCAACACCCTCTCGTGATTTTCTTACCCAACCAACCAATCAACTTGTTCTCCAATGAGTGAGTTTTGCGCCCTCTATATTCCATCCCATTTTCAAATCTCACAAAATACAAACAAAAATATGGATTTTACACCTTTTTCTTTCTTTTGTGTACTGCAGATCTTCCTCAAAAATGCATCACCACCGTTAGCGTCTCCTAGAGGGGCATTTTAGGGCTAATGGGCTGAGTGGGCCCACAGCCGAGCACCCCCCACACCCGCCCACCAAATCCTCTCCAGGGAGACAGGTAGAACATGCACAACACAAATATTGTTGAAGAATGCCTACATCCAAAGGTATGACATTGACTCCTTGGTCGTAACTGAAATTTCTCCTCTTTTCTTTTCTTTTGGATCACTAAAAATAGTGAAATTTCTTTTGAGTTCATTTCATAAATGGTCTTTGAGATTTACCTTTAATCTCATTTTAGTCTTTGACTTTTTAAACGTCACAGTTAGTTCCTGAAATTTTATTTTGTTTTAATTTTAATCCTCATGTTGACTAAGTGTTAAAAATTAATAGAATCTGTATAAATTAAGGACTAAAATTAAAAGCAACTAAGATTTTGATACTATAAAAATTAACTTTTATTTTTTCAAATTGTTTTTCCCTGAAATTTTATATATTTCCAATTTTAATTCTTAATTTTCACAGATTCCATCAAATATTTAACATTAAACTAACAAAATGATTGAAACTAAAACAAAGTAAAACCTTAAAGACTAATTATGAGACATTTTAAAAATCTGAGACCAAAATGGAATTGAGGGTAAACTTGAAGGACCATTTGTGAGATAAACCTTTTTTTTTTCTTTTCAATCACCGAAAAAAGACTGTCTCTAGTAGGCCGTCTTAGTAGTATGACCAATTTTTTAACTGTTAAATCTGATTAAAATCAAATGAAATAAAAAAGGTATACAAAATAAATAAATTTTAATACAGATCTGACGATTAAAAATAAATAATTATATTTTTCTAATACTAAGAAACTTGCTAATAAAAGAGCAATAATTAGATTTTCATATGGAAATTGATAATTAATATCAAATTACACTTGAATTGTTCACATTTAAAAAAAGGAAGAAATTACACTTGAATTCGTTAAAATGAAAAATCCAACTTAGTTGTCTTGATGCCTGATGGCTTTAATACAAATTGATGTTTGTTGATATAAAACAATGGGTAAATGAGATCTACATAACAAGTGCTCATATAAAAATAAATAAATAAATAAATAAAAATTCTAAAAAAATAGAAAATTTACCCTTAAAATGTATAAATCTGCACTTTTACTCTTTATTCTTGATAAATATCATTTTATTAGTGTAATTATTTAACTAAAAAATTATAAATAAAAAATAAAAATCCTAACACATGCACTTTCAAAAGTATTTATCAAAATTATCATTGATTCTATTCACCAAAACTTATTCCACAATAAATTATAGCTCTCCCATGAGGCTACTATTTCGAAAAGCACAGGTATCACCGAGTATGACAAAAGAAGTGAATACAACATGGAAACAAATGTTTCGGACAATCACATACAGAGGCAAGAAACCTATTAGAAACAAAGTTTATAGATTTATCTCTCTCTTATTTGTACAAAACATCGAAATTAAATGGTATTTTATTTCCACCTTAACTTTACCCAAAAAAAAAAAAAAGAAAAAAGAACGCACGAGTTCACACAAACATTGGAAGATAGGACAAAATGAAGACCAAATTATTTGAAATTTCCTTTTGGGTTTAAAAGTCAAAACACATGCATAACATGTGAAGATGAACTAAGCATACAACTCATCCACATTACACTCCCCAAGGAAAACTTTGAAGCTCCGCGGTGACCCGCAACTGCCTTCGGCGATGAGCGCTCTGTCATTGCTAGCCATGTGGGCTATGATCTTGTAAATCATTTCGATCTGAGACAATAAGGTTCAAAGGGTTAGCAAAGAAAGTAATTAAAAGAGCCTTTTACTGACATGTCGTGCTAAATTGCATTGTATTGTATAGTATTTGATTATTGCATAGACGTGTAATAATCGACATTATGCAATACAATATACGTTGACATGCCAGATAAAGGCGAAATGGTTTCTGAAAACACAGGATATCAGTATATGTACATCTTCAGGAGCATGGCAACGTTCGGCTACTTCTTCAAGAGTCAATGGTTCAACGGGCTCTTTACAGCTGAAAACAGAGTAATGTAAAAGGTGATAGGTCAGTAACAAGGAAGTCTATATTCAGCTATGAACCAGGAGAATAAGCATTTACTAGTATTTCACGCATTGTAACATCAAAGAAATAACCTGTCCAAATAATTATATGGTGCCCACGGTACTTCTATCCTAATGATAGTATACCTTTAGACAATTCTGTAAGACTTTTGCAAACAAAAACCTGTATTTTGGGTATCATACCTGGCCTCATTGAGTACTGCCAAAACCCGCTTCTGAAGAGCTAATACTTCTCCAGCTGCTTTCTTCCCAGCTTCCACGCCTGTGGAAACAATTGACGCAGGCGCAAAAGGGAGATGAAAAGGAAGAGAAAAATTTAGTCAGATTAAGAAAACACACATTAAGAAAACACACATTAACTTGGTGAATAACACGTACCAAGTACATGGTACAAGAAAATATCTAAATACAAACTTCTATCGACAGCGTAGGAATAGGATATGAATCATGAATACTAACCAGGTTGGTGGTAGGCATTAATGTTTACAAGTGAGGCATATATCCCAACTGCTCGCTCATAAAGCGCTATTAGAGCACCCACAGATCTAGGTGTTACTTCTTGGACAGTAACTGTGATGGACTCCCTGTTGTTGGCGTATAGAGCTGACCTTGTTCCCTGTGAAAGATTTAAATTTTGTATGTTATAAGGGGAATAAAAAACACGGCAAGCAACCACGTGGTGGCGTCTAATGAACCCTCCCTGCAATGAATATTACCTGTAGCATTCCGAAAAGATAGTCACCACATGTAACACCAGGCTCAAGCTCCCAATCGTGACCCGGGGGCCTATCACATAGAACTTCAATGAAAGTCACAAAGAAATTGTGCACACCTTCTCTCAGTTGCTGTATGTAGCTGCCAAAAAGAGGGGTCACATTAGGCCAACCATAACATGCAGCAAAAAGTAATATGTATACACATGACCCGTTCATTTCACCGATTCGAGTTTAGAATTCGAGTTTTGTTACAGTAAAAAGCTCTCAGAAACACTCACATCTAACTTTTTTGTTACAGTAAAAAGCTCTCACATAAAGTCACATCTCAACTCGAATTAAAAACTCGGATTAACGAACTAAACAAGCGCTAAAACAAGAACGGAAACTCACGCATGCTGATCTGTGCTTCCTTTATTCCCATAGACAGTTAATCCTTGTTTTACCTGCGAGATCATAAATTAGTTTCTTTAACCAATTTAAAGTTTCTCGGTTATAACATCTAAAATGCTGCACTTGAAATCTATTATGCGAAATGAGTGAAATTGTACATGCTGTTACTGTTACCCACTCAAAAGGTGAACTATTACAAATAAAAGCACTACACTTATTTGTAATACATACCCGATTACCATCAAGGTCAAACTCATTCCCCAGAGATTCCATAACAAGCTGCTGCAGATACCGACTAAATAACAATAGGCTGTCTTTATAAGGAAGGACAACCATATCCTACAGAAAGTCCAAGAGAAGGAAAGTCGGTAGATATAAATACGCACAATGCTAGCTAACTAGAAATCAAACCAAAAAATAACAAAATTCAAAAAATTAAAATAGAGTAAGCAATTCATACCTTAGATCCTACTCCGTCAGAAGCCCAATACCAACACAATGCGAGTAATGCTGCAGGGTTCTTTTTTAGCTGAAAAAAAACAAGAACTACTTATGATCCACAATCAGTTACGGATTTTCCATATTCTCAGGCAGGCAAAAGCTAAAATATAAAACCGACTATGAAATCAGACTGCATTCAAAATGGCACTAGTTAGCTTCCAATACACAACAAACCAAAAAGGATGATGTTGGTTAGATGTTCAAGTGCTCATGCTAGCAGAACTAAAAACTATGGAAGCCAAACATATAGAAAGGAAATAATAATAATTAAAAGGAAGAAAAGAAAAAAGCCAAATGTTTATGGTCTATGGTTAATAGTAGGAAAATCAGATTAAATAGGTTTTATCCTTACATCAAGTTTAGAAGACTCTACAGAACATATCATTACATCTAGTTTAAAAGACTCTCATGAAACATATGAACGAACTGCTGCTCACCACAGTCGCTCTGTTTGCCTCATCCATCAATGCTGCACCGGCAAGCATTTCTCTAATGTCAATTCCCTGAAGAACGGATCACATTCAGAATCACAAATTTTTTGTTTTTTAATCATTACTAAAGGGGGAAAAAAAATCTGGTATGATCAAATAAAGGATGCAAGGTCACCAACCTGAAGTGCTGCTGGAAGGAGACCAACAGCCGACATTTCAGATGTTCTACCACCTACCCAGTCAAACATGGGAAATCTAGCTAACCAGCCCTCGATTCTTGCAGTGTTGTCTAATAATGAATTCTCTTGTGTTATAGCGACACCCTGAATAAGAAATGAATTAAGAAATACATATACAAGTGCACAGTGCATGCATATAAATTGACATATGTCTAAGTCATGAGCCGTCTTTACTCTGCAAATCTACCTCTACATAGCACCAATAGAGACTCATACATCTGTAATAGTGAAGCGGAGGAAAAATTAAACAAGCAGAAAGAAAACCTGAGATTAAGACCTGTTTTGAAAAATCCAGGCTGGTGTCACGAAAGGCCTTTTGTACTTCCAATAAACCATTTCTAGTTTCAGGAGTTCCTCCACTCTGAGGGAAAAAAATAGCATTGCATTAGAAACATGCATATACAATCCATAACAAAATTACACCAGAAAACAATATGATGCATACACATGGCATCACACAAAAGTTGAAACAAATTCATCAAGTAAAAGATTTCCAGAGGCCCAGTTCGGAAACTTGAGAATGAAGAGGAAAGTATGCCTTGAAGCTACTTTTGTCCTCTTCACAATTTTACATTATGTACTATTGTCCTCTTCACAATTTTACATTATGGTGAGCTACTATAAATGCTAGAATAAATCAATGACATGGATACTTAAGTCTTCAACTACATTTTAGCTTTAAAGTATATCTAAAGGAGAAGAACAAAAAGAAGAGGCAAATAAAACATTCTTGTGAACCTTTGAAATGACTATGACAAGTGTAGACGCCAACTCAGGACCAAGCTGCGCAATTTGATGATCAATTCCTGCTGGGTCGGTATTATCGATGAATCTTATCTGCCAAAACAACAAAATCAATAACTAAATGTTCAATCTAAGAGAAAAAAAAGAATTCCTGAAAGCTAGATCAATACTGTATTAGAAGTTAATTACGTACCTTAAGAGGAGGATTATCAGGAGCTAGTGCCTCAGCAACAAACTGTGGCCCAAGCGCAGAACCTCCAATCCCAACAGAAAGTATCTGAGTAAATCGACCCTCTGGGGAAGAAGGTGGCTTAATCTTCAACAATTAACATCAAAATCAACCACAAGAACCATACTTGGCAATACAACGCACTTAAAAGCAAAAAACTAGTAATTGGGAAAAAGTGCGAAGAACTGACCTTACCGGAGACGACGTCGCCTGCGAAGTCACAAACGGCATCGAGCGTGGTCTCAATCAGCGACTTGAGACGCGAGGTGGGAGCGAGGTGGGGACTCCTGAGCCAGTAATGGCCGACCATGCGGCCCTCATCGGGGTTCGCAATCGCCCCCTTCTCGAGCTCCTCCATGGCCCGGAACGCCGCCTGGAACCGAGGCTCCATTTCGGCCACGAACTCGTCCGTGAACCCGACCCGGCTCACGTCCAGGAAAAGTCCTAGCTCCTTGTGCTGGTACAGCCAGTCGACGTACCTCAGCCACAGCGCCCTTGGGTCCTTCTCCAGACCTTTCTTCTTCACCTTCGTCGGCGCCGCCGTCTCGTTCTTCAAAGCGCCGTCATCCGAGAGCTCGGAAGAAATCTCCCGCGCGACGGAGTGAACCGGAGGAATTCCGATTCGGTGCGTGCGAATCGGAAACGACACCATATTTCGCCGGAGCGAAGTGGCGCGGAGAAGGGGCTTTAGGCGGGGCTTGACCGACGGAGAGGACGAAGAGCAAATTCCGGAGATTGAAGCCATGGAAGCTACAGACAGAAATCGGAAATGGAAAGTCGGCGGCGATCACGACGGCAAGGAGGCGAAGAAGGTTTTTTTTTTTTAGTTAGTCCATAGATTCTATGTGGGCGTTAGAGAGAGCGAGTTGTTGGAGCCTTGGAGGGTGTTTGTTGTTTGTTCGAGTGGGGTTTTTGTTCTTACGTGCGTTGGAGTTGGTTCACACGTTGATCGGTTGGAAAAATTTCTGTCTTCTTTTTGTTTGACGGGAATGAACTTGCTTTGACGTTTATATTACGGAAATGCCCTCGCACCACGGGCATTGTCCAGTGTCTACTTACTTACCCGTGCCCCTCGGGGTTATCATGTGAGTTGCGCAAAAAAAGAAGTTATATGGGCCCGTTCACTTCGCTGATTCGAGTTTATAATTTGAGTTGAGATGTAATTTTATGTGAGAGTTTTTTACTGTAGCAAAAAAGTTAGATGTGACTGTTTCTGAGAGCTTTTTACTGTAGCGAAACTCGAATCGGCGAAATGAACGAGGCAATTGTGGGTTAAAAAAAAGCCAAATGGATAGAATCTGGGGACGAAAATAATGACTTTAAAAAGATCAAAATAAATAAATAAAAATCTAAACTGCTTCACTGGGGTTGTGACGGCGCCTAGGTAGGGAAATAGTTTGCGAAGCTCCCTGGAACGGACGGCGGCGATTTGAGTGAAAACTTACGACGTCAATTGTTATCGGTTATAGACCGACCATAAATTCTTGATTTACAAAAAGTTAAGGAATGTTTATTTTTTATATTTATTTATAATTTTGAATCATGATTTATAATTTTTTATAATATTTTTTTTATAAAAAATACATGTAAAATAAAAATAATTTTAAATTATAATTTTAAATTTATGAATCAAATGTCACCAAATAATTTAACGTGAAAACTTGATGGAGGAACAAAATAACAAAAATTTTTTTGCTTAATTAGACTACAAACAGCAAAATACTTCACCTAATTAGACTTAACAATTGAAAAGAAAACTTCGAAGTCATTAATTAGACTACAAACAGCAAAATACTTCACCTAACTGAACTTAACAATTGAAAGAAAACTTAGAAGTCATTAATTAGACTACAAACAACAAAATACTTCACCTAATTGGACTTAACAATTGAAAGAAAACTTCGAAGTCATTAATTCTCAAGTCGGCAAAAGTGCATGAATGATCGCGTTTCCCCTATTTATGAGCGTTGGGGCGTGAACAACAAATTACATTTATTTAGAAAATATTTGGTTGATGGATTAAGAATTATAATTCAAAATCATTCTCGATTTATGTGTATTTTTTGTGAGAGAAAACACTGTAACGAGTCACGAATCATGATTCGAACCATGACACGAATCCTTAAACCAAACGCACTCTTAATCTGATCCGTTCATTTATAACCACCTAAACTTATATGTTTATTCATTCTCATGCTGTCGGTACTTCTTTCTGCTTTCATTTCACTTTCCACATAGAAATTCTTCTAGTTGTGTTATGCTTTTAGCCTTTTGCGGGCTTGTTATTTTCCTCAATTTCTGTTAATATTTGGGTCTGTTTAGTTCACTGATTCGAGTTTTTAATTCGAGTTAAGATGTGACTTTATGTAAAAAAATTTTACTATAGTAAAAAAGTTAGATGTGACTGTTTCTGAGGATTTTTTACTGTAATAAAACTCAAATTTTAAACTATAAAATAAACGAAACTATAATTTCATCATTTCGTGTTCCTTGAAAACGTTTATATTTTATCCTTTATTAAAAGTCATTCCCGCATTTAAATTAACTTCTTTATCAAAACTCCCTTGTGTCGTCGAAGTGCATTGATGTAGAAAAACGCTACTTTTTTTTTTTATAATAGCTTTTTAGTATAACACGATCGAAAAGTTTAACAATGACACTTTTTTAATACCAAGCCCTAAGGTCTAGCCTACTCCTTTATCGATACCCAAGCCCAAATAAACACCTATTTTCTCCATCAAACCATTTAATTTCTCCTTAAGAATTGTAACAAATGACAGTTATTAGAAACTAATTGTAGTTAATAAATAGCAATGCTTTTTCAAAAATACAGTAAATGACACGTTTTCCTTAAAACAAAACTTTATATTCCAGGAATATCCCAATCATCTTCTTCATCTGTTACTTTTCTCTGCAACAAGACAACCAAACCCTATATATATTATGATATGCATCGCCCCGTGATCATCGCCTGAGAAAAAAGAGTAGTAGTACCGCTGGAGAAGATGGACCAGAGACAAAATCGTCGACAGAGCTTGCAGATAGGTTAGAGATCGAGGTTACGATGGAGCTCACGTTTCATCATGACAATCGTCCATGAAGAGAAAACACAACAGAACCGCTGTCACCGCTGAACTTGCGTAGAGAAGAGCAATCGTTGCAAACTTCGTCGCCGATAAGAGAGAGAGAGAGAGAGAGAGAAAGTTAGCGAGGGGAGAAATAGTGAGAGAGATAGAGCAGAGGGTGTCATAGATAGAAAGAGAAAGAGAAAGAGAGAGGACTCGACGGATCGGGTGACAATATTGTTTTGCTAATTCTTGATATTCTAAATCCAAAATATGTTATTAATTTCTTCACGCCAAAAGTATAATTATTAATTTTCATTCTTATGACACGTTTATTTACGCATAATCGAATAAGCATGAATCGGAATAGGCAAGATTCAGAGTGGGTAGAATTCAGAGTGAAGAATCGGAGTCAGAATAAACTGTTTACTTACACTCAGAATCAGAATAAAAAAATATAAAAATACTAATATACCCTTTAAATCAATTTGATATTTTCAATTTAAAAAAATAGATTATATACTTATTATATTAAAATTAATCATAATTAAAATATTTAGTGTAATAATTGGGTACTAAAATAATAAATATATGTTGCATTTATTATTTTTTGAATTTTATTTTGAATTGTGTATTTATAAGTAAAATAAGTGCATGATAGTAAATTTATATTAATATTAGGAATGAGAGTTTCAATCCCAAGCGGGGTATAAGAATGTCAATCACATTCCTCAATCTAAAATTTGAGTGGGACCCACCAATCTCACTCCCATTTCAGGATAAAAAAGAGCAAGTAAACATGAGATTGACTTCAATTCTTCAATCATGGTAAGTAAATATGTCATTAATATGTTATTTCCTTCCTAGTTTATCCACCTGTCTTTCTTCAATATTTTCAGGTTTCTTTTCATAATAAGGCAAACAATGGTTGTTTTTTCTTCGAGCCTTTTGGGCCTATTTGATCCCTATACATCGTTAGAGATTTAGTTTCAGTTTATTTCACCGATTCGAATTTAAAATTTGAGTTTTGCTACAATAAAAAACTCTCAGAAACAGTCACATTTAACTTTTTTACTATAATAAAAAAATCTCACATAAAGTCATATATCAACTCAAATTAAAAATTTGAATCAGCGAACTAAACAGACCCTTAGAAAGCTCGGTGTAGCTATCTCCCACATTCAGCTAAGTTTCTGATGAGGTTAGTGATTAGTCCATGAAAATGCACCCTAAATACTATTTTTTATTTATATAATATTAAAATATTTAAGTTTTAATTAAACAATTCTAATATTTTTATTCAGAATATTTTTAATTGGAATTTGTATAGTTTTTGCTTAATTATTTACAGATGAAAAGCAGTATAAAAAACTACACAAGAAGAAGCCATGAAAGTCATATTTTCAACCAATCCGAGCCAATCAAAGAGAGAGCCACACCATCCACTTCCTCCAACCAAGCTTTGACACGTGTCTACAAAGGTGTTGAATCCAGATTTTTTCTCCGCGAATTGCCTGATTTCCTCCTCAAATCATATATTTGATTTCTCCTAATTTATGTGTAATTTTATTTTCTTTTCTCTTCTTTTGTATTTTTCCATTTTTGATTATTCATTTCCTTATTTGACAGACAATATTTGAACACTATAAATAGGGGGTTAACCTAAGGTTTGGATTCTCGACACCTTACCGTTTTTACTACTAACTTTTCTTCACACAAGTCTTCTCTCCTTTTTATTTGCAACAAAGTCTATAAAAACTCTTCTTTTTTTTCAATTTACTTATTATTTATTTTTCTCTAACGTTCTTATTTTGCTAATCTTTCTTGTTTATTTTATCACTTCTATGTGGATATGAGTTAGCTATGCCATCAACTAGCTAGAGATTGTCACATTCACCATGCAGCCATGACAAAGCCATTGAATCAACCAGACCCCAACTCTTTTTTATTATGATAAAGTTCGATTTGATATTTAGGATTATACACTACTATGTATATTTGTTTGCTTATTATGAAAGAATCCCCTTTTTAATATGGTTTAAGGACCAACCATAAACAATAATTTAAATAGTTGAAATTTGGGGACAAAAACAATGGATTTTTTTTTATTTTTAAAAATTACAATATGCTTTCGAGGGGTGACAACGTACCTACATTGGGAAATGGTCACGAAGCTCCTCAGAGCCAACGAAAATTACAACGTCGATTATGGACTAAGGTCGAATTTCCAACTTGGCAAAGTGAGGCAATTCGACGTGGAAAACAATATATTTTAATTTGTTGGATTGTTTTACTTTTAAACCGATAAAGAAAACTATTATTGATACCCGATTTTGTATTAGGCCCATTCAAGTGTCCAGACCCAATCATAGCGTCACGCGACGTTATTGAGCTCGCTTCGTGGACTCAAGCCAAGCTCGGAGAACTCTAGTGGGTTGTGATTTGGCGAGTCATGTGTGATCAAGTATGCTTGTTTGTCGTTTAATTTGATTCAATTTAAATCCCACTTAGAGGGTTTTCAGAATTAATCAGATTAAATACAAATGAGTGATGGAGAATTCCTAAAAGGCCTTCCTCCTATCCTTTTGAAAGCCAAAAATCCCTAAGTCCATGCCTCATAACCTCTTTCTCTTCGTCAAGGTTGATTCTCAGTGTTTTATCTCCAACGGAAACTCTACCTGCGCCAGACATGCCTAATGAAGGCTCCCTCAGTGGCAGACATGTCTCCTGGAGCATCCTCTTCATATCCAAGTATGCTTAACGGAGCTTTTTTCGTGTCAGGCATCCTTCCTTTGGACCTCTTCTCGCCTAGCTCATAATCAGAGCAATCTTCGCCTGGAGCATGCTCACCCTTCGGAGCAGCTTCACCTGGAGCATCTTTCGTTT